TGTTCATTAAAAGCTAACTTGTGTTTTCAGTGTATTTGGCAGCTTCTCAATCCACTGACAGGAAACTGGAAAGCTGACCAACAGGAGACATTTCTACAGACGATACATTGATTTCTCAGAGAATCATTCATGGGTCTCGATGAAAGACATTCTGACACGTTTAAGGGACTGATATTCATGAGTGTGTGCAGTTTGGTGCAGATCCAAATATAAATCTGCCATAAATAGCTTATAAGGCTGGGGCCATGCAAATACTGAAATACTAATATAAAAGAAAACTTGCACTTATGTATCCTCCTTAGCTTACTATGAATTTTCTCTAACTCCCAGCAAGAAAGCAAATAAGGATGTTTTTCAAATGCCTGACATTTTCCTTTAATTATTTTTTTTCTCCATCAACCACCAACTGTTCTGGTTCCTCCACCCCGTCTTGTAAGCAGGAAACCTCCTCCCCACTGTTTCACTGTGCTTTTACAGCTCCAAACATCGTTTGTGTGCACTCCACTGCCACCCACGGTGGAAATAAATGGAAATAAAAATACCCTGTCAGGGCTCTGAATAGAGCACAGGTTGAAGCAGTGGCATTTACATAATTTGTCAATTAAGTGCATTTTAAAAAAGAGCTGCTCTTCAGTCTGCTTAGCATCCAGAGGCTTCTTGTGGCTGTTGGTTGTAAAGTTAAGATCTCTGCTGACACAGGCGTCAGCACCAGCCGCAAACACTTAGCCTGCCCCAATTAGCATAGTAATGCTTTAGCAGACAAAACCACTGTCTCCTGGACAGTGAAAATCTGCGGCGGACACTGACACCAGCATTGTCACACAGCAGTAAATCATCCGAAAAGAGCAACCCATTGTCCCACTGGTTTGGTCGCCCTGCAGGTTCAAGGAAAGCCTGGATTTCTGAGGTAATGCGAAAAACTATCAAGCATCTATTCATCTATTCATTAACCTTGAGTGAGGGAAATCATGCAGGGTGAAGGAAAGACATTTCTGGAGACAGACGATGAGCCATGACCAAATCTGACCTGCGTGTTCAAAAGGTGAGAAACATACAAAGTCAAGGTTGCCCCATACCACTAGATCACGTGTAGAGCTACCCTACACATGGTGTCAGCTGATTTGACAGGCGCTTCACAATCAAATGGTGGCAACGCTAACCCTTCTTGACTCAGGACTCTTTAGGTGTGATTTTGTCAGGAGATGCAACTCCCCATCACTAGTGTGAGTTCAGAGCTGGTTATAAATATGTATTTGTCATTTTTACTTATTTAATGATTTATAATTGTTTTTATATCCTTATTGAACAGATTATAAAAGAAACCGAGCAAATGTATCTTTGATCCCGTTTGTGTTGTACAGGCTACTTTGCAAATATTACTTCTCAAGTGAAACAATATCCAGCCTCAAAGCATATTTCCAAGTAAGGAGACAGATGCTTTGCTGAATGAAAACATTTTAACAACATGTCCCAGCACAAGCCAACACAATCTCTGGTCCAAGGTCAGAGACAACTCAAGAAACTAAATCATCTGTGGATAAAACACAAAAAAACCACTAACATACTTATACAAAGATTGACTCATGCCACTGCTTGAAGATTTGTTTGAAAAGTTGAGCTCTGTGTTTCAGTTGAATGCAGACGTGTAAGTCCAATGTCATTCAAATGTAGTTTTGCTTAATTTCAAATCAAATGTAATAATCTCTCTGTATCCACACATCTTCTTTATCTTACCTGCTGCAAGAAGGACAGTGATGTTGCCTCTAGTTTCATCGAGCAGCATCAGGGATGTTGTTCTGGGAAATGTCCATCGAGCGTTCTTTGCTCTAATGGATCTTCATTGATAAACCTTGTTGTGGGAGGCCTGGGCCAAGTATTGATTATACTCAGAGTGTTTTACATTAAGTGGTCAGGAGAGAACAGCAGCTGCTACACACGAGAAGGTGCACTGCGAGGTTTGGTTTTGAATTTCTTATATGCTTTCTCCCAAGGGAAACTTTTGATAGAGTGCAAGAGTTTCTCCAAACTAAAGGATCAAGACATCAAACATGCTGAATAGTTTGTTTCACCTCTGGGATCACCCACTATGCTTTTTGATATGTGAACTGGAGTGACAGTCAGTGGTGAGCACAAGGCTAAACAGTCCCCTTTTAAAACTGCATTTTATTTCACTATTAAAATCCGTTCTGTAGTTTTTCTGTAATCCTGCTGACAAACAAACAAAAACACAAGTAAAAACATTTAAAATACCTTTATTCATTGGATAAGCTCGTATAATTTATATACTGCATAATATAATTCTCCACATCAACAAACATAATCAGGTATTTTTTGAACATTTCCACATAACAAAGAAAAAAAAAGTTTCTCAGGGCACATTGCATAACAGAATAATAAAGATGCAGCTTGCTATGAAAACAGAAAGAGTTCCACTCACTCAAGCAAAATATCGATTTTGACTGATCCAGTGTGCTGCAGTCGCTCTGTGGCTTTTATTTTCAATCCTCTGAGGTTGGAGTTTGTTTCAATTCTCTGTCTGAGCAGTTTGGGATGAGAACACTACACACACACACACACACACACACACACACACACACACACACACACACACACACACATACATGGATAAAATATAAATAAGATTCAAGGGGAAGGAAATGCATAATAATGGCTCAGGTATCTACAGACACGTGAGTACCAGTCTAAACTGTGCTTGTGTGTTTGTGTATGTACAAGAGGAAGGAAAAGAACAGCAGGGCACCGGGATCGCAAGCTTTATAGCTGAATGCGGTTTGCTGCGCTGCTCGGCTCAATTTCTCCCACAATGCACTCTACCTCCAGAGACACACAAACAGTGTGTTTTAGCTTCTTGGGAAAAATGGACAAAACTTGCAAGCAAAATTCTCTCAGGTGGTAAAAGGAGAGTGTGGCTGTGCTGTGTACGAATACTAAATGAAGCAGTGGCAGAAAAAGGAGGCAAACTTGGTATTAGAAAGCACTAAATGTACAGTGATTTAAGGTGCCGCGGTAAAAAGGAAAAACCTGATGCTTAAAATACCGATCCACAGATACATAATTATCATCTGAAGCTAAAACTGGAGGGTTGGCTTGTGTTTGAATGGGAGGCTCCAGATTTCCGCTTCTCGTAGCTCTGATTGTCATGACAACCATGAGGATATCCACTCATCCTTTGTGATCATGCTGTTTGTCTTGTGCCCAGAAAAGCTGGAGGGACTGGCACCTAAAACCTGAACGACATCATGCACTGGGCATCTGATAAATCCCGGACGTCACAAACGGAGATGGAAGAGACTTTGCTGAATGTTTTTTTTTTTTACCTTCTAAGAATTCTGCAAAATAATGAAGGGATACTTTTTCCACAGCCGTGCCAGATAGTAATACTTCCATTCTTGCTCATGTACGCAGTTATTACCATCCCTCTTTTTCAGACCACAAGCAATTCATCCTGGCACCTAGACTGTCTTAAATCTTCACTGAAGAGCTGTTAAAATAATGTTGATACTCCAACTTTAGACTGGATGTGCCCTGTAAAAACACATTAAACCATCAGGGGCTACAGTATATCTTCAGAGACACAGTATAGCTTGATGTAATGTGTTTTACAGGTTTGTTCCCTGCACTAAAATGCTTTTTTTCCCCTATACGGCCGAGCTAATTTGGAAAGAAAACCACAAACCAGCAGAGCAGTCTCTCCTTGGCATGCAATATTGTTTTACAGCCAGCACATATGTTAAAAAGGGAGGGAGGCTTCAAATGACTTCATGTCTTCACTGTGGCTGGGTGATGTCTGAAATACTCATCCAGAGAATGGTAGATGTTCTATTTGTGTTGAGAGCGAGGGAAAGATTGTTCCAACTCGTCCAAGAGTCCAAGGTCCGGTCTAAGCTCACTTTTCCTTGCCTGTCTCCAGGACTGTGCTGCTGGTTTTATGGTGCTGTCTGCAGTGAGGGCATTGTGTGAGCATGATGTGTGTGTTGGCACAGAGCGAACATTTCCATCGAGGCAGTGTGGTGGTGGAAAGTGGGATGAAAAGAAAGGCAGGAGGAGGTCGTAGGAGGAGAGAGGAAACACTTCAGTGGTTCAAACTAATGGAGATGCTGAGTTTAACATCTCTCTGTAGCTGCCTGTAGAGATAAAAACTCTGTACAGAGCTGCAGTAGAAAGTGGATGAAGATGGACTTCAGGTTTACGTTCAAAACCATAACGTCTGATCTTAGGACTCCTCAGCCCAGAGCCATCAAGTGCAGAGTAAAAAACATTTTGCCATATTTTTAAATTAATCAGATTATTAAAAACTGAAGTGGAGGTGGCGTTTTCATCCAACTCATGAACCTGATTGGCACAGTACTATAGCTGATAAGCCATAATTTCTAAATGAATGTTTACCGGCAAGAAATGCGAAGCCTGGTATTTTGTCCAAGTTTTGGACAATGGTCTCAAAATATGACTACAGTTTATCTGACCCTTTATCAACTACATGTACCATGCAACACCAAAATGCTTCGTAAGTATAACAACAAGAAATTAAGAGGGAATGGCTTGGCTAATGGCCAATTAAGGGGTTAAACATGCAACAACTGCACTAAAAGGGCCTCTGACCTTCAGGCTGAAAAAGGATCAGGTTTGGGGATTCTGCCTAACGTGTCTGTTCTGAGTATAAAAAAACATTTGCTTGGTATCAGTGTCAAAGCTGATCGCTGCACATGTTGCATTGGCAGGAGAACTGAAAGGCCGAAACAATTCCCAGCACTGAGAACAAAGAGAGGTTCAGAAGTCCACATAAGGAAAGAAAGAAATTCACTTCAAGGTTAGCTTGACGTGCTAAGATGG